TACCATATAATTTTTGTTTCTTGATTTTTTTACATACAGATTTTGTACAATGTAGTTTTAATTGCACAATATCAGTTAAATATGGCTAATTTATGATTCAATCAAGCAAAAATGACAATTATATGGCAAACTTTAATATTATCACTATCAATTTAGCTAAAAAGTGGTAAAAAAATAGCAATTTTGACAATATGATGACTTTCGTTTTTCCGTATTAAAACAATATAAATGGAATTGCATTGAAATTGTGTGTACTTTATCAATTTAACATAGCTAGACAAGTTAAGCATAAAAAATCATTTTATGATGTAAGAGTAGATCTTCAAAAGTGGGTGGGGCAAAATTACCGAAAAAAATATTTAAGATTACAAGGCTCCCAAAACATGCCTTTACATTATAATTTCAGTTTAATATATAAGAAAATGTGTTTTAATTGTATGTTATAATTATTATTTGAACATTTCTTGATAAGTTAAGCATAAAAATTAATTACCTGATCATTTATCACAGATGAGTATAGCTTCAAAAGTGGGTGGGGTAAAATAACTGAGAAAGAAAGAGGGGAAAAAAAAGAAGATTAAAGTTTTAAATTATTAACCTTTACTTTACAATTTTAGTGTATTTATCATGTAATTGAATTTTGTGATAAGAAATATAAAGATTGTATTACATTAAAGAAGAAAGAAACATCATGTCATCGCATTTTAAAATTATCACAAATAAAATGGTACCGAAACACATTTTTGAGATTTTGTTGCCTAAAGATATATCGTAGAATGAAATTATGTCATAGTTGTCTGTCTTTTATCAGTTGATTTTAGGTTGACAAGTCATTAAAAGTAGTTACCTTATCATATATCTTAGAGTTTTAAAACTCGGTGGGGAAAAATAACACCTAAACCATTAAATATAATGTTCATCAACTTGCTTTTTTGTTCTATAATATATGTTTAACAATTATGTGATGGCATTTTATAAGCTTTGAAAACAAAAATATTGTATGGATAAAAACATTTATAAAAAGATTTTTTTATAATTTTTAATGTTCTTCCAGCAAAATTTGTAAAATGGATATTCGATCTCATTACATTTTAATATAAACTTTAGTTTTGGTTGAAACATCATCAGTATCATTTTAACTTTGACTACTATAATATCTAACATGAAAGAAAAGAGAAATGGTTATTGTCATTGTTGAAAGAAGCATTTATTAATGAATGTTGTGCAAATATCATACTGAATAAAATCACAGCCATAGAAAATTGCAATAGTGGATAGCAAAAGGTTTAAGCTTAAAGCATTAAGCCTTAATGGATACATCAATTAAACATGAAAACACAATTTAAATACATATTTCAATATAAGTATAGATGCATTAATACATTCTGCACAAAAGAAAAGTCAATTTCAATACTTAAAATAAAAGCAGGATTTTATGCCCCTCCCCTACAAAAAAAATGAGAGGAATTATTATTTGTACAGTGCCATCCCTTCTTCCATATTCCTTACTTTGAGTGTGGTCCATACCTTTGCATATTTTGCATTACTTGTGCACTGATGGTCATGTAAAGTCAATTATGTCATTCCGGGATGGATTTTTGAAATAACTTAATAAAAATGTTTTTTGACATTATATCGATGTGTCACATTCAAAAATCAAGTCATACTTGTTCTTCCATATTCATAATATGATTAATAGATGGCGTTGTCTTCCCAACGACATTATCATTCATGGATGATTTTTATACAATTATGCATAACTTTTTTTTATATTGATCTGATGTGTATCAGGCTAAAACAAAATGTGTTGCTCAAAGTCACCCCTAATTTTTCATTCATGTGTTGATACTCTTGTCTGGTCAACAATTCTGAGTTGCACAGATGTGTTGCATTTTAAGGTCGAACAAGAAATAATCAAGTCTCGGGCTTAAAGGTTAAGGTCATAATTGTCAATTGATAAAATTTGTAAATCTTTGATAGATTTTGGAAATATTATGCGTAAACACGCTGCTTATTAAATGGATCATCATCATCATCATCATCATCATTATCTTCCAGATCTCCTGTATCATCTTCATCATTTATAAAGCATCATGTCAGGTAATATTTGATTTTCTTTCAACCACTCCATTTTATATTGTACGACCTTACTATAATTATGACAATGTTTCGAAATGTATACAATATAATCTGAGAGCTTAGGTTTCTTACTATGCAGGTAATATGCAAGTACAGTTTTCATAGATAGATTCAGGGCATGATAACAACAACAAAAGAAGGTTAATAAATGCCATTTAATTAAGTTTATCGTTATGTCCATCTGTAGTATGCCTGCCTAGCTCAATGAGAGAGCATTAGATAAGTAATCAAGGAGTCACTTGCTTGATCCCCCGACAAAGTAAATTTCTCATTGAAAATAGATCTCTCATCGCTTATTCAAATATCATGTGAGGTAAACAGGGGTCACTTGCTAATTTATTTGCTACTTAATTAATAAGGAAATCCGGTTAGGTGGATCGAAAGCCAAAATAAGACCAAAACATTTGTTATAGAACGCCAAATATATGTTACGCCCATTGTTTTCTTATAAGGATACACACATTCTGTTAATTGTGGGACCATACGCCACTTTTAATGTACTGGCTGAAAAAGTCACATAGAGCTTGCTTTCCATGATGACCTCCGTATTAACACATCTGCGAATGTTTCAAAATTCAAATTTTACCATTTCATGCTAACGGTTGAAATACCCTTGAGGAGGTGCTTGGGGATATGGACGGTAGATTGCACTATCCAGTACCATCCATGAACAGGCTCAATCAAACCAAGTACGCAACATTTTCAATTTTTATGTTTATTGGACGTTATGAAGCCTGCATATCAAAGATACCGGGTAAGACGTCAAAAGACAAATTTAAAAGCAGGCCACATATCCCAAGGGTGTTTCAACAGTATTCAAGTAAGGAATACTGGAACCACTTAACAAGAAAATAGCCAAATAGAAAGAACTAAATTACCACAAGCACAACAATAATGTCGTGCTGAACGATCTTTAAGGACCGGAAATATAACATCTCTAAATGAATGTACTGGGCGACTTTTTACAGCCTCCACACGGCACAAACAACGCTGATGTGGCTATAAAATAGAGAAAATAAGAAGCCCTAAAGAAAGCCCAACACGGCACAATTAAAACTGTTGAACGCTCGGTTTGATTGAGCCTGTTCATGAGCGGTATTGTAAAGTGCAAACTACCGTCCACGCCCCCTAGCACCGGCTTAAGCAATCGTGTCCAGCTTTCGCAGGTCAAACTGCTGGTGAGATTTCACTGAAACTTCATAGGAGTGGTCAAGACCATCCTTAGTTGACATATTGCCCGCCAGCATGTTAACTTTCTGTCAAATTAATTGAAATTGTTGGAAAGGTTGTTTATGCAGACTATATGTAACGATTATTGAATAATGAAAATATTAAAGTACATCTGAATTGATTTGATTATAAATTTGATTTTATTTATAAATGAAAAAGTAATTCATTTGAAAATCAATGTGGAGGGATAATTACTACACACTTATTATTGCATCAAAGTAAAGTACACAGATCTGTAACATGGAAAGCTGTAAAAAGGGTGTACATTTCATTTGGAAGTTAAGTCTTGTATGATGATTTAATTAATTGACCATGTTTAGAGTTCAAGCCAGGTCATGTCTTTCATTACATAGCATCACTGAAGACTCAATATTAGGGTACTACATGTATTTCAATATTCTATACTGCAATCAAAAAACAAGTGTTTCACAAAATGATTTCTGTATTGCTCATCTATCAACTTGCCTAGCAATACACTGCGCTAGTCTGTTGGAACATCATCATTTTCTTGGCTCATTAATAAAAAATGATGAAAAAAATATATTGTATTATTAAGCAATGTATACCTCAGTGCTTTAAGTGCTTTGATTAAAGATACAATTTATCATTTTTGACGAGTGTTATTGTAGTATTTGCAAATGTTTCCCGACGAACTCCGTGACAGTTATCACAAGAACTCCTGGACAAGGTATAATAAGAACTCCATCACACGTGTAACAGTTTCATCCCAGTGGCTTTAAAGATAGATATTTGGTCTGCGGAATCTAATGCTAGCCAACCTATAAAAACGTAAAACATATATTATAAGTCTGACTTTGTTTTATAAACTCTGTAATAACTTTACACTATGCCATCATAATTCCATGTGTCATATTTTCAATGTGGCTGTATCACGTGACCTTTCGTTTATGCGCAGGTTTTTCCCATCCAGGCATTTTTTTGTGGAGAATGGTACAAATTCGTTAATCACAACAAGCAATGTCTTCCAAGACCTCTGTTTTTTTTCACTGTTATATCATACATATTATAGATTAACGATTGTCAGTGTTTCGAACTAGCACACACAAATACCCATGCTCCGTGTATCCTAAAGATCACATGGCATTGCAACATGGATAACTGAGTATAATATTTTGTAGCACTTAGATCCCGTAATAACATATAAAGTATTTTTTTATAATTATAATTAAATTCCCTTTAAAGATTTTTTCTGATCATAAGGTACGTTGATTGTTAAGACAAGTAAACAAACTTCACTATAAAATAGCTGTTTATAGAAAAGGACGAAATTTGGTTCTTTGGTGAAGATATAATCCAAGTTGTATCCACACTACCATGCCAAACTTATGTTGGTTTATATTTTGCTGTATTTCGATAAAAGTATGAAAATAAAATAAAGGTCAATAATTCCAAAAATATAATGTAAAACGTTTTTATTCTTGTCAACTGCATTCCTTCTAACTGTGTTTTTATCCTCTAATATATGAAGTTTCAAGTTGATTTTTCAAAGACATGTACTTTTTAAGTTACGCTCTTGACGGAAAGTAAGGACAAAGACTATTACCAAGGGATAAATGGAAACACAAGTTTCTTTATAAACTTTCGTTGTTTATTTCGCACTGAAAGACAAAATAATTAAAAATATAAGCCAGAGTATGCAGATTTGTATTCCTGTTTCACGCCAAAATAGTATACATACCGTTTCCTTACTTACAATGATATATTTTACAGTCAATTTCCAGAACAAATCAGTGTTCACAAATAATACTTCTCAGAATAACTGAACATCTATAAATATTTAAAATTAACAATATAACAGCACAAATGAATAAATTTGTAAAATAGCAGATTACCTTCATTGTCTACATATTATATTGAGCATTTTCTTTGAAAATAAACATACAATGACTTTATTTATCAAATATTATGATGCAGGCTCAATATTTGTACGTACATGTATATAATTATGTACTACACAATTTGAAAACAAATAAAGATTTTACAATATAAAAACTTGACAAGTCATGTATTTTAACAATCACACCAAAACTGATTGTTACTTATTTATTTATCTATTGTATCTATTTTTTTATTTTATCATTTTCCCCCCCAAAAACTGAAAACCTCATTTGTTTTAACTAAGATAAAGCCGCAAACGACGTTTCCTATTCTTAGGTAAAGGGCCCATTATCGCTTGAAAATGCTACAATTTTCACTTCTCATTTTACTATTTTTATTGGTATCTTACAGTTTTTCAAGAATTAAAAAAAACTCTTTAAATATTGCCACATACATAAACTATCTTATTTTGCTCTGTTGGCAAATGGTACATTTAGTGACTGACTATTTTGTATGGAAGTTTCTTCAATAATTGTTTCCCAACATGCTCTTTAAGTAGCACGCCTCCATGGATATTCATGATAGTTTCCATGAAAATTTTGGTATTATTTTAAAAGTAAAATATATAAGAAACCAAAAGGAAGCAATTTACTCATTACAAACAGCACTCACAGCCTATGTACATTACCAAAATAAGGTAATTTTTTTTTTTTAAATAGCATTTACTGCATCAGTAACGAAGTAGAAATACTGGTTATAAATACTGAAAAATCAATCATTAATAGCACACAACATGTACATTATTACTTTAAAAAAAAATCTTGAATCTTTTTACTTTTCCTAAAATCTTTGTACATTTTTCTCGGGTTTGATGTTATCAAAATATTTTCACTCATCTAGTGACATGCATCTTTAATAGATAAGTATAAGTAGTGTGCTTAAATCTAAAGAATTTTGATAAAATAGACATTCACTGATAATTTCCAAAATTACAAGTTCAAGTTATACTTGTATCTCATATGTGATCTAATTTATTCTGGAGTCTTATTAATGATCGCTCGACTGATAATATCTGATAGTTTCTCTACAAACTGGACACCTATAGTCACTTTCTAAAATGCGTATTAAGCAATTATAACACATTATTTTATGTTTACATGGAAACAGTTTCACCAAGAGCGTCTCCTCGAAACAGACTATACACTCTAAATCAACGTTCTCTGAAATGTCAACTTCATCTGATTGGCTGAATCTTTCCCTTAGCGCACTAGCTGCATTAGCTCCTAGCGCTCTGAACAAAGGTTGAACAAAACCGGTGTCCAGTGCTTTGAACATTTTGTCTTTATCAAAGGCGGTGGCGTACTGCTGACATTTTTCGTATATTTGTCCACTTATGAAAAATGTAAATAATCCGACAATACAGCTATATAACAGTAGCATTAATGGATAACAAATAAAATTAAAAATAAATGAACATAATATAAACCACATACTATATAAGACATAAGCAAATGGTAACAATAGTAAAATAAAAAACAAAATGTCGGTATCTCCACCTCCTCTGGCATCTTTAAATTTCTCAAACATTTCAAAAACAACCCATACTGTACAAAAACTAACAGCAAGAAATGAAAGAACCCAAAAGACTGACTGAAATAATGGCGTAACAAAATATACAAAAATTGATGTAAATATAAAGAAATAAGACAAAACAATTGATTTTGATAAATATACAACTGTGAGCAAACTATAAAATATGAAATTAGTAACAAAAGTTAATAAATATATCACAATCCATTTCACACACAAGAATATCCCTTTAATTAAGTAGTGATATGCCATATCTAGTAAAAGGTAAACTAGAAAATCTATAGTCCATGAAATGGCATACAAAATGTAATTAACTAGAGTTGCTGGCTGCCGTATTAATATATCAACAATCGTAGAAATAGAGTCTATGATAAATTGTATACATGTGTCCAAATGCAATATTATTGTCACTAAATTTTTATCTAGATACGAAACCGATTCCTCCGCATACAAAAATAGTCCGTCGATAAATTTGATGACAAGAAATCGGTTGTCCTCCATGTCCTCTACTGTCGTCTGCATCTGTTCATCATACGGGTACTTCGCGCATGTCGCCACGCCCACAAGGCATGTTATATGCAAGATTAACATAAACATTTTGTGTCGTAACAGTTGATTTTATGCCGGCTTCTTTGTATATGTACCTGATTCTCTGTTAGTTTTTTTTTTACTTATCCTAGTCCAATCATAATATCTTCTTGGTGTGCTCACCGCAATCTGCAGCTGCGATCTAATACTTCTTCTTGCGGTGAAATAACCACTCACAACTTCGTGCCTCAAAATTTATCGTCGCTGTTAACTGAAATAAATATTTATCAAAATTAGAAAGTTGCAAATTCTATAATAATATTAACACTGTGAGGAATAAAAAAGGAAAAGTTCATTTCAAAACATTGCATGTGTGTTTCATAGAATTTCTTCTGGGCTACTATTCGACTGAAATTGGTACAAGTATACGAGTAAGTGAAATGGCAGATGAAAATCACAATTTACAAGAAATACTTTATGCTATATATATATTCACGATATTTTATCCTATATATATTCACGATATGTAAAAAATAACGAAGTCTTCTTTCACGTTGTAAGATGATCTTTTGTCATTTTAAAGACAATGCACAATGATTTCATTGCGTTGCGTGCGTGCGTGCGTGCGTGGCATGAGGTATATACTACTGCATGACAATGAATTCTACTTTATGTTTCATTGTGAAAAGTTGTTGATGAAAGGCTATTGCATTTGTTACTAAATATAGCAAGTGACACACAGTTTTCCCGAGCAGTTTACACGACAGCAATAATTTCCGGTTCTTGACGAGACGAACGTATACCAGAATCAAAAAGTTCCAACTAAAGGGATTCTATAAGGGATTCTATGTCATTGGAACACCGAGAAATTACCAAGCAATGATCGTGTTGCACATAAAGGTACTTATAATCTCATTGTTAAATTATCATGAATAAGTTGAGAAAAATGCTGAGAAAGTCAGTGGGTTGGAGACAATGTAGTAAATATGGCAACTGGTTTACATCTTTAGATTGTTTGTAACAAAAGATTTTCATAAGAATCATAATTGCCTTGTAAAAACCATTTCGATTTTCTAATTTCACCCAAGTATGGATCAGTTTGGATATTGATGAAATTTAATCTATTGTCCAAATGAAAGCTTGCCAATTCATACCGGGAAGTCTTCAAGTTTAATGTTACTTATTTTTACCGGCGATTGTGAAGAAAACTTTAAAGTTAATATGAACCATCTCTAGTCCGCTTAATGAACAAACCAGCACGTGTGGCAACGGTAGCGCTCAAACCTACGATCCATGGCTTAAAAGGCAGATACCTTAACCACTAGGGCCACGGTTCCAAGAGATGTCCTTAAGTAACGTTTTGTCATACCATTGTCTGATTGCCGCACATGAAAATTTAAAAGTCCTATGTCTTTTTATTGATTAAAAAATATGTCAATAAAACAAGAGGGCCAAGATGGCCCTAGATCGCACAAATGGCCAATCGATCTCATCCGAGCAATTACTTCGACAAGCATCCTGACCAAGTTTGATGACAAATGAGTCAAAAATGTTACCACTAAAGTGTTAACAAGGTTTTCCATATTAAGGCAGTGTGACTTGTTTTTGAATCCAGGTGACCCATATTTAAACTTGACCTAGAAATCATCAAAACAAACTTGGAAGACCAATTTCCTGGATATTTGGAAAACAACAGTAGTCACTAGAGTATTAACAATATTTTTCTATTTTTAGCTCCTGTGACCTAGTTTTTCATCCGACATAGCTCACGTTCGAATTAACTAGACAAGCACCCTGACCAAGTTGGAAAAATGTGACCACTAGAGTGTTGACAAGGTTAATCTATGTATGGGCGGTGTGACCTAGTTTCAGATACCGGTGACCTATATTCAAACTTGACCTAGAAATCATCAACCAATTTCCTGGATATTTGGATCAAAACAGTAGCTACTAGAGTGTTAACAATATTTTTTTCTATTTTTAGCTCCTGTGGCCTAGTTTTTCATCCGAGATGACCCATGTTCGAACTCATCCGTGCAATTACCTAGACAAACATACTGACAAAGTTTGATGATGGTTGAGGCAAAATTGTGTCCACTAGAGTGTTAACGAACAAATGTGAACGGACGACGGACAACGAACATTCAACGATCCTAAAAGCTCACCCTAAGGTAGCTCAGGTGAGCTAAAAAACTAAACAAGAGGGCCATGATGGCCCTGAAATCGCTCAAACGTAAATAGGCCCCCGGGGCGGGGCCAATTTTAACCCAGGGGCTTTTATTTTACATACTTGGTAGACACCCATTTGTAGATGTTTATGATCTAGCTCTAAGTTTTTACTATATACATATAGGGAAAAACAATGACACCCCCCCTGGTGCGCCAATTTTGTCCCCAGGGCTTTTATTTGAACAAACTTGGTAGACACTCACTAGAAGATAATTCATGCTTAATATCTAAACTCTAGCTCTTTGGGCTTTTTAACAGAAGATTTCTTAAGTTTTTACTATATACATATATGGAAAATCAATGATCCCCGGGGCGGGGCCAATTTTAACCCCAGGACCCTTATTTAAGCAAAAATGGTAGACATCCATTAGAAGATGTTTCATGCTAAATATCTTAGCTCTAGCTCTAAAGGTTTTTTTAAAAGAAGATTTTTTAAAGTTTTTACTATATACATAAAGGGAATAACAATAACCCCTGGGGTGGGGCCAATTTTGACCCCAGGGCTTTTATTTGAACAAACTTTGTAGACACCCACTAGAAGATGTTTCATTTTAATAGCTAAGCTCTAGCTATTTGGATTTTTTAAAAGAAGATATTGTTTAACTATATACAAATAATGAAAATCAATGACCCCCACGGGCGGGGCCAATTTTGACCCCAGGGCATTCATTTGAACAAACTTGGTAGACACTGACTAGATGATGTTTCATGCCAAATATTTTAGCTCTAGCTCTTACGGTTTTCTAAAATAAGATATTTTAAGTTTTTTTTCTTTTGGTTGCCATGGCAACCAGAGTTCTGCTTGGAATTAAATCACCAAACGAGCTTCACTGAATGATAAGGTTATTCAACTCGGACTGGTACCTGACACACGTATTCCCGTAAGTATGGCCTACACGGAAGTGCATTCTTTCCAGTTTTTCACAAACGAATTTTGCATGAAAAAAAAGTCGAAGAAAAGAAGAAAAAAAGAAGAAATATGTGGTTCATTTTTCAATTTGGTATATTAATGAGAATGTCACAAACCGGTAAAATATCATACATAGTAAGACTCAGCAAATGATAAAGAACCGATCATATTATTTTGTTTTGCCTTTTCGTTGAGGGTAACTTTAATAATCTAGATAAAGATAATATTTTAGGCAGGATTTACATTATAATCAAGTAGATTATTCTACCCAGGGACCAACTTTGACTGTACAAGATGGGTCTCCGTGTGCCCTCTTGAGAGGTTAAGTGTGTAGTTTGACTTCCAATAATCATCAGTAAAACTTGGCAAGACATTAAAGGAGAAAAAGACACTCTAGATTCTCTATAACCTTTCCAGTGTCGACCTGACATTGACCAGAATAAAACGAAAGTAGTGTCTTAAAACCGAAAATAGAACGTATTACACTACAATATAAAATCAATGAAGATAATAATAATATTCTATATTTATTATACATTTATTGTATACATATGAAATAATAAATCCGAGTTTAAACCCATATCGTACATTGTCACAGTATAAATATGAAAAATATTTAACCTACCATTCAGAGGCGTATCCTAACTACAAAGTATGTTAGCATAAATAGATAAATGATTAAACGGTGCATATAGCATTTGTTATCAGTCAAAGTTATACAGTTAGTTTTTATTGGCATGCGCAAACAAGTCAATAAGTATAACACACACACAGACATTCCGTTTAAAAACTTATTTCAATATAACATAATCGATTTCCAATGATCAGTTTTTTAAAAGTTACTACTGGTCTGTGTGCATGTGTACCGTTTATAATTGAAATATTCTAGCTTAGTGTATGAATAAGTAAATGGTCTATGGAATATAATATGCTAATCAACTATCAAAATTTAAACAGTTTTAAGTCTTAGCTCCTTTGTATGAAACCGGAAACCAATTATATTAATATACAGTTGCAATTTAATGCTTCATTTTTTTTATGAAGACGTCAAATTAAAGACCAACATCTTCATAAAAAATAAAATAATATGTTAACATAAAAGAGGATACATATCAAGATAAATTCAACTAGAAGTTATTTATCACGTATTTAGCACGTATTAGTTCAACCATTCTTAGATTTTTTTTCGTTTGAGCAAAATGAAAAACATGTATGTAGTATAAACAAGAACTAATAAACGAAGGTCCTATATATATTCGTGAAATAAACATGCTCCCTTTTAGTTCCATGAATGAAAATGTGTTAAATACACCAAGAGGAAACGATAGAGAATTCCCCCCAAATGCGACTCCTAAATTTTATGAAAAGAATTTACTCCAGCCCCAAATGAATTCTTCATCAGCTGCGCACGTGCTTTTAAATATATCACTTGACTCTCCTCTCTTGATATACTCATGTAAGGCGGTGTATTCCTCTGGGATTTTAAAATTCTTAAAATGACCGCCAGCTACTTGAACATGACGAAGCTTTGGGAGAACTTGACAGTCTAACTCGCACAGATTGTCACATAAAAGAAAGTTTCCAGAACAGTTCTTAGCTACAAGATAATCATTTAGTTTCTTAAGTTCGTCCAGCAGAGCTTGTTTCAACTCCGCATCTTTTGATACATCTTTGTTTTTCATCATGGCGGCAAATTTGGGGAAAATTCCCGCCGCGCATGCGTCACCTGGCCCAGAGTATCCTTGCTGTAGTTCCGGTTTAGGATAAACTTCGTTAAGATACTTGGTAATTTCAGCTGAATCCGGCACTATCTTGTTTCCCGCCTGACGATCTATTAGAACAGGAACTTTGCCTTCGGGATTTATTTTAAGGTAAAACTCAGGTTTATCAATAGTGTTGATAGGGGTGATCTCAAAATCACTGTCTTTTAATGTTAAGTGTACGTACATGTTTGCTCGTTGTGAAAATGGGCAGTCGCCTACACACTTTCCATCATGTCCGGCTTTGACAAAAAGTTGGAAACGAGCGCTTGAAGCCATTCTTGAAGCAAATATAAAGCACTGAAATCAAAGCAGGATTTATTAGTTTATTAGCAGCCAGGGTTAGAGGAATGCCTTTCTTAACATGTTGAATCAGTAATAATTTGAAATAATACATTACAAGCCTGATAAGTAAGATGATATTTTTACCGCTAAAAAATAAACTTTGCCTCGGGAGGAGAGAAAGATACTAAAGATAACTAAAATAGATCAATAACAAAGCTGAACACACTGTGTATAACATAAACATATAATGTATAATTGCCAAGCTGCACTGTACGGTAGCAACAAAACATTTTACGTCTACTAGCTCTTGTTATCTGAGCAATTATAAGTCATTGTAATATTGGAGTTTAGCAGAATGTACCATTCACATCTTTTTTCGATATCTGTTATTCAACCTTTAATTTAAAAAAATATGAAGTAACTAATAATCTTACAATTCATAAATTAGATTTGGAAAAACAGTAAGAAGGCGTGATCTTAGGTATATTATTGGTTAGTTATCAACTGTAATTTTTATCGATTTTAGAGCCAATTTAGTTTGGAATTACAATAACAATATGTACAAACGTCCATGGCATTTTATACATATACACCGTCTGTGAGCATCTTTAGCAGTTTCCAAAAATCCACGCTTTTAAACATTTCAAAACATGTTTCAAACGTAAACACATACCTTGGACAAGAATATTTTATTTCTGTTATTACACTGCACTAACAATGTTCGGCAATTAACGATCATAAAATAATCTCGACTTATTATAAAAAGACAACGGTGAATGGATAAATTTTGCCCGTCCTAATTTTACGTTATCCTAAGTCAAAAATTAGGACAAGAAGCATACAGTAAATAGAGAATAACATGCTAATGTCTTTTGATATCAATTTTATCAGGCGAGGCTGATATGGGCTAGAAAGGGCGAGGCAAATATATATCAGCCGAGACTGATAAAATTGATACTGTGACTTTTCTCACTTAATTAGCCTCTTGATTTTGGGAAAAATTTCTAATTTGGGAAGTAAAAAAGTAGGTTTAAGTCTAGACTTTTGGGAAAACTGCATGATTTTAAAGAAAATTTCTATTGGGAAGAGGCCTTTTATCGGAGTGTGTTAAGATAAGCAGGAAAATCACCGTGATATAAAAAGACATTAGCATGTTTTTCTATTTATCATGTATCACTTAAAACTGTCAAAATTACAAAATAATCTACTTTAAAATAGCGAATTTCGTAGAAAGGGACATTTTTGTTCAAAGAAATCATTCTTGAAAACAAATTCCTCCGCCCCTGAAGGGTGCAGGGGACCTAAATATAAACAATTTTGTATTTCAGTGTGACCAGAAATTAACACAATTTCAAATATTTCAAAATCTGTTTTACAGGCAGATAACCAGTTGCACAGCATTATTCAATGATATATGACATACATTGAAGAAAATAATAATTTGCATGCATTGCTCCTTAAAAAAATGACCTACAGCAATTTATATTTACCCCCACCCAGCCAAAATCACACCCAAAATATACCAATATGGGCAATGTTCATGAAGGTGCAGCATACTCCAGAATCCGCCCGATTCCTTTAAAAATATCACTAATACGCAGTGCAAGCTATGGCATTTTCAAAAATGACCAATAAAGTGTCTGTCATACGTTTAGATTTTCCACGAAATTTGTCCGAAATTTCTTACTTGTTTGGCGCCAACTGTCAAACCTTGATTTTTAACTTTTTCACCTCCATTCGGAGAGTCAGAAATACATACAAAGCTACCAAAATGCTTAGTTTCGGGTAAAAACCCAAAAATACTTCTCATTTCCTACACACAAACAAGAAAGAATTACAATGACAGAGAAATATCAGAAGTTTCCAGGACCTTCAAAACACCATGTCTGAGTTGTTAAAAAATTTGACCTGGGCCATCATTTGGGGTTTGAATGGCGGCCGTTTTTTCTTTCGACTCGAGATTATTTCCTGTGATAAAAGATACAACAGAATGTAACACGATTAAATTCTTACCTTTAAACATCAATGCAAAAAATCCCCTAAGAATCACATAAACTTTACTGAATTGTCAAATTCAAAAGTTCACGATAATTTCAATCAAACAAAACTCATATCGGCAATCAAACACAAGCTACACAAAAATGCGTTTTATTTTTTAAACAAAACAATTTGTTCATTTATCAAATAATAATCCGGCGAAATAAAGTAAACATTTACAGGTTCTCAAAGAAAATCGCCTAACCTGTTTGTTATGATTACTAAGTATGACGTGAACATCGATGATGTCATTTGTAATATAAATTATGACGTCACTTCATTTAGTTGGTGCTTAACTATTCACTATCTAATTTATTCGTAATTGAAATCGAAATTATAAATAAATAAATTGTAAATTCCACATGCTGATGAAAATGAGAATATAAGCAATTGAAAAAAGTCCGGGTTTTTTTTTGTATTTATAATACACGTATATGCAAAATATATATTTAAAACAAATAGCTCTACTGTATTAATCATTGAAGAAAAAAATACGATAAATATTAATAACATCTGGGACTTAGAGTTATTTTAAGTCGAATATGAATGCTGATTTTTTGTTCAGTTGGTATAGATCACGGGTGATCGTCGCGTTCATAGGTCACTTCGCAAAAAAAAAAAAATTTGCGAAGTGACCAATCAAAGCGCCGAACACCAGTGGTATAGATTCACGGGTTTATGTAGATGTAATAATTTTGAGGGAAGCCATAGTGTTTTTTCGAGCTCTACAGGTCTTTGCACAGACCCGATCACCCATTTGAACTGCACCTATTAACAATCAATATATTAAGCTTTTAACATTTTAACATAAATAAGGCACCTGTCTTAATCATTAAACTTGTTTTTAAACCTTTTCCACAAGAATAAAAACCCTATATACCGTGAAGTCTCAAACAATAATTAAGCAATAAGCTTTTTCAAAATCTTGAAAAAAATTAAAATAGAATTTGACCCCGTGATATGTTTAGCCATATATTTCTGTCAGGAATGAAATAATAACCAATCAAAACTTGAATTCAACACTTACAGCAGTACTGCGTATATATATTAAACAATGGGAAAGGACAACTTCCAATTTGTCAGAAATAAATAATTCTTCCCCACTCTTTTGTTGTAATTATAGAGTTGTTTTTAAAAGAATATTTTTGTCCCTTTAAAGACAATGAAAAAACCCCACTAAAATGTTCTGTCATAGTGCAAGATTTAAGGTTGTTGCACTTTTTCATTACCCAGCATGTACATATTTATCAAACAGAGTCTGCAATTTTCATGTTATTTTGCTGTTTCCAAGGATTTTTTTTCCAGATATTATTACAACTGAACGTATTTACAAGTGCAAGTCAATTACAGATGCGGTGGCTGGACTGTGCTCTGGTAAATTTAGTGTGGCTTACTGCCGTTATCCGGAAGGTAAACTACCACCACCAACACCATCAGTAGGTTCTTTCAACAGTTGTCATACCTACTGAAAACAAAAACCGGTTGAACCAGGTGATGCTCCCCGAATAGGTTTTGGACACAGAAAAGTACATCTCATGTAGTGTCAGAGTTATGTCACAGATAAAGTGTAAAAATGAACGAAGGACAATAACTAAAAAAATAAGCAAGGCAGAGTTAAGGTTATTTTGCACTACCTACAGTTTCATGTTGACACTCTTATGGTTTCAGAGTTATGTCCCGGACAAAAGTTCAAAGTGTAAAATGAACAAAGGGCAATAACTAAAAAAATAAGCAAGGCAGAGTTAAGGTTCTTTTGCACTACCTACAGTTTCATGTTGATACCTCTCATGGTTTCAGAGTTATGTCCCGGACAAAGTTCAAAGTGTAAAAATGGACAAAGGGCCGTAACTCAAAAACAAGGCATGACAGAGTTATGGTTCTTTTGCACAATCATATATATCTACCTACAAAGTTTCAAGTTGATTTCTCTTATAGTTTGAAAATTATGACCCAAAGTTCAAAGTGTAAAAATGAACAAAGGGTAATAACTCCAAAATTAGGCAATAAAAAGTCATGGTTCTTTTGCACTGCACTTCTACCAAATAAGATCAATCTACGTACAAAGATTCATGTTGATATCTCTTATACTTTTAGAGTAATGTCCCGGACAAAGTTCAAAGTGTAAAAATGAACAAAGGGCAATAACTCAAAAATAAAACAAGACAGAGTTATTGTTCTTTTGCATAGCATTTCTACTCAATGAGATATATTCTACCACTACAAGTTTTACATGTTATATCTCTTAGGAGGTTATGTTTTCCAGACTAAAAGTTTCTGAAGTGTAAAAAATGAAAAACAAAGGGGCAATTAACTCAAAAGAATAGTTGAGGCAAGCACAGAGTTATGGTTCTTTTTGCACCATGCAACCTGTACTCAATGAGATCTATGTACCGACAATTCATGTTGATATCTCATACAGTTTTAGAGTTATGTCCCGGACTAAGTTTGAAAATGAACAAAGGGCAATAACTCAAAAAAGGCAAGGCAGAGTTATGGTTCTTTTGCATTGCACTTCTACTCAATGAGATCTATCTACCTACAAAGTTTCATGTTGATATCTCTTATAGTTTTAGAGTTATGTCCCGGACTAAGTTTGAAAATGAACAAAGGGCAATAACTCAAAAATAAGGCAAGGCAGAGTAATGGTTCTTTTGCATTGCACTTCTACTCAATGAGATCTATCTACCTACAAAGTTTCATGTTGATATCTCTTATAGTTTTAGAGTTATGTCCCGGAATAAGTTTGAAAATGAACAAAGGGCAATAACTCCAAAATTAGACAAGACAGGGTTATAGTTCTTTTGCACTGCACTTCTACTCAATGAGATATACATGTATCTACGTACAAAGTTTCATGTTGAAACCTCTTGTTGTTTCAAAGTTATGTCCCAGTCAAGAATAGTGGAAGGACAGACATCCCACTGAATGGGGATAAAGGGCCATTTCTATTGTAATTTTCTTTTGTTTAATAGAGGGCAATGGTCCCTTACTCTATTGTTACGGAATGAATTCTATTGTTCTCTTTTGTTCTGTTTACAGTTAGATGGCCCGGTAGTGCGGATGGACAGACAGATGGACGGACAAAGCGGCTACTATATGTTCAACCTTTGGGAAGCATAAAAAAATGAAGAAATCATACACAGGCTCTTTCATATATTATCTTTATTTATCACAATAAAAACAAATTTCTTTATTTACATACAATTTTATACAGAACATTTTCTACATGTAGGTGTATATATACCTAAACAAACAAGTTTTCTAGCCTATCATCCAAATAACATTCTTTCTTTCAATGAGATATCCCATAACAGATATAAATCTAAGCCAAATGCCAATAAAATATATGAGCCGCGTCATGACAAAACCAACATAATGGGTTTGTGACCAGCATGGATCCAGACCAGCCTGCGCATCCGCGCAGTCTGATCAGGATCCATGCTGTTCGCTTACAAACCCTATAACAAGTAGAGAAACTGAAAGCGAACAGCATGGATTCTGATCAGACTGCGCGGATGCGCAGGCTGGTCTGGATCCATGCTGGTCGCAAACCCATTATGTTGGTTTTGTCGTGACGCGGCTCATATAACAGTATTTGCTGATGTGTATGGTCTTTTATATGCATGTTTGTTAAGCAAACAAATCTAGAATATTTATTTATACATGTAATAAAAATTAACATTTCATAATGCATGCTGAAATTTTCCATTTTCTGTTTTTATTACATGTAATGATGATGACGTCTTCATTTTTTTTTAGCAATTCAGTTATTCAAATTCAGAAATTCTATTTTAAAGCAGATATTTAATTTCCACATTAAACAGTTTATTTCTCTACATCATACATGTAGATATTTTTCTTCCTAAAACATAAATATATCTTACAGGAAATCATTTCATAATTGAACAAAAAATGCGGGAAATTTATCAACAATTAAAAATTGATATGGTTGATATGGAACTGGTAAATATTTCAACTAAATTTTCCTGCTCATAAAATTGTTTAAGCCAATCTATACCTTGAAATTGCAATTTATTACTTTATTATCTATATTAGGCTTCAATTGGTTAATGTCTTTCATTGGTTAATAAATAGCAATAATAATAAAAACAGGGAGTTACGTCATAGTTAAAGCGGGCAGACATTTTTACAATCTGTGTAAAATACCTGTGATTAACTAAACAGAAGGAAATTAAAGTGTTTAAAATTTTTGTGTCCTACTTTGATAGCAAATTTTAGGCTTAAGTTTCCATTGTTTTTGACTTGAAATAAATGGACACATTAACATTGTAATAAAATATTTATAAATTATAATACTAAATTATAAAACATTTAGCAAATAATTTATGCCATATAGCTATTGTATATATTTCCATGATCATATTTATTTATCTTTTATTTAGTGTCTAGCTTTATTATTCATCCAATAAAAACACTGTATTTAGTAAATATTCTGTGTGTCAATTTTCATAGAAGAACAAAAGTTGAAACTGTTTCAAATTCTGTTCATAGTCGCCTTCTATTTTTAATAGTGTCTCATAGAACCGAGTACGTAAAAATAGGCGTGACGTAATGAAGTAAATATTACTGAAGCCAAATAAAACTGGCAACTTATGATGTGTGTTAGTATTCATCCTTAGCTGTTCTACAGAAATTAGAAACAGTCTCTGATCGCTATCGCTTCTGTCAAAGTTTATAATTTTTGTAGAATAGCGTGAATGAACACTAACATGTACAGGTATAAAGGACTGTTTCTACCCTACTTATGAGTTTCTTGACTATATAATAGACAGACAGACAGACAAATGAATAGACTACCTCACATTTCATTAAAGTTACAACACAAGTAAATATTTTATTCATTGTTATTTTTTTTTTTTTATCTTTTTTTAAGACTAGATCAAACTTGACACATTTAAATATGAAGATAACAAACTTGTGCTCCCATTTTCATTCAACAGAAAATCTATTAACAGAAAATCTACATCTTTAACAGTTTGGCCATACCATGTGATGTGCGACATCATTTCAACCTATTGCACTAAAGAATATATACCTCGATTCAGACCGATAAAAATGATACAATTATATCATTTCTTGCTATTTTTAAATGGGAGACAGTGTAATTTACAAACCATACTTTTTGCAACAGTTTAAAATGATGTCACATACCACGCAGAAGGCCGCAGTGATTAATTCTATTTTCTCGCTGGATTTCACAAATAAATGATACTGGTATATCTTTTAAATGACCTACTACTAATGATATCTGAATATAAATTTTCTTTACAATTATTTTTTTTCTACATCTACAATACAGTATTCAAACTTAAGATATGCATGTGTACTTTAACAACACTGAGGGAAGTACTGCAAGGAAATAGGGGTCTTGTTACTTTTCATTAAATCCAAAATTGTTTTCACATATTACAAATAAGTTGCAAAAAGGTTGGGTGTGATCATATCCTTTGATCATACACTGTTGATTTTCTTTGCATTCACAATCTACTTGTCATTTTTAGAAAATGATGGATATATGAGATGTGTCATGACAAAACCAACATAATGGGTTTGCGACCAGCATGGATCCAGACCAGACTGCGCATCCGCGCAGTCTGATCAGGATCCATGCTGTTCGCTTACAGACCCTATTAAAAGTAGGGAAACTGATAGCGAACAGCATGGTTCCTGATCAGACTGCGCGGATGCGCAGGCTGGTCTGGATCCATGCTGGTCGCAAACGCACTATGTTGGTTTTGTCATGGCAAGGCTCATATAGTTTTTATCAAGCCATGAATATCTAATAGCTACAATATAGATGGGTGGGGTGTTGATATTTATCAAAGTAGTTAGTGTTGTTCTTCCTGTGTTATGGAATGTCTCATGCAAATTGTGGCTGTAGTTCTCTGTAAAGTGACTAGTCTGAACCCAACTTGGCATTGGCAATCTGTAAAACAACAAATATACATATTTATCACATAAACTATGGCACAGGAGTGTAAAAAAGCCATGTAATAAAAAGCGATATTACACTTGTGTAATAACACTTTGACATGATGTCATTTGCATTATACAAACATAGGGTTAAAGCCTGCTGATATAAGTGTTACACTATAGGCTCGTCCAAGAAATATGGCTCCTTTTAACTGTAAAATGTTGTTATTTTGAATATGTGATAAATAGAATATCCTATTTGTGTGGACACAATACTACAGACTTGCATAATATGATTTTATTCAACTCATTCAATAAATTTATTATTAAACCTACACTCATTCAATATCCTCCATATAAAATTTTTAAAGTACATTTTAACCTGTTAAACTAGCATAACCTATGAAAATGCACCTTTCTTGATTTTTTTAAAGTAAAAATGTGTTTTCCATGCAAAGTGCTCTAATCAAAATTACCAAAGTGAATATATTTTTAAACTACAAATGTTCAAAATCTGTTGATATAAACATTAGAGTCAAGATGAAACACCCTAAATATTGTACATTTGACTCTAAAGGTCATGGTCATTTAGGGGTCAATAAGTCAAAAGTGTTCTAATTTAACCATGTACTAGGTATATTTATAAAGGCCTCAGTCTTTAAGAAAACGATAAGAACAAAAACTTTCACAAAATAAGTATTGTCTTTATTTTGGCCTTTTGGCAGTTTTTGTCTTCATTTGTATCCAATGTTGCTCTGCTAATTTAACTAGAACTGCCACTATCATGGCGTGAATACCCCCGCATACCACTTTGTCAGAATCAACGGTGGCCATTTAGAGCTCAAGGACAACCTCCCTGCCAAATCTGAGGTTACTAAGCCAGTGCATTGCTAAGTTATGTATTCTACATGCTTCAAATGTGAAAATGTCAAAATCAATACATTGCGGACAGGACATTCTTTAACAGTTGAGAAGAAAAGCTTTTTTTTGTCAAGGTCCCTGTGACCTTGACCTTTGACCCAGTGACCTCAAAATTAATATGGGTCACCTTATAGTCATGATCAACATCCATGCCAAATATGAAGACTGTGGGTCAAAGGAATCTTAAGTTAATGGGTGGACAAACTTTTTGAAGTCAAAGTCCCTATGACCTTGACCTTTGACCCAGTGACCTCAAAATCAAAAGGGGTCATCTACTAATCATGATCAACATCAATGCCAAATATGAAGACTGTGGGTCAAAGGAATCTAAAGTTATTGGGCAGACAAACTTTTTGAAGTCAAAGTCCCTGTGACTTTGACCTTTGACCTCAAAATCAATAGGGGTCATCTACTAATCATGACTAACCTCCATTCCAAATATGAAGACTGTGGGTCAAAGGAATCTTAAGTTATTGGGCGGACAAGCGTTTTGAAGTCAAGGCCCCTGTGACCTTGACCTTTGACCTGGTGACCTCAAAATCAATAGGGGTCATCTACTAATCATGACTAACCTCCATTCCAAATATGACGACTGTAGGTCAAAGGAATCTTAAGTTATAGGGCGGACAAGCTTTTTGAAGTCAAGGCCCCTGTGACCTTGACCTTTGACCTAGTGACCTCAAAATCAATAGGGGTCATCTACTAATCATGACTAACCTCCATGCCAAATATGACGAATGTAGGTCAAAGGAATCTTAAGTTATTGGGCGGACAAGCTTTTTGAAGTCAAGGCCCCTGTGACCTTGACCTTTGACCTAGTGACCTCAAAATCAATAGGGGTCATCTACTAATCATGACTAACCTCCATGCCAAATATGAAGACTAAGGGTCAAAGGAATCTTAAGTTATTGGGCGGACAAGAAAAAACCGACGGACAGCCGGACGGACGGCCGGACGGACGGCCGGACGGACGGACGGACAAGCTGATTCCAGTATACCCCCCTTACAACTTTGTTGTGCGGGGGTATAAAAACAAAACAAAATGAGCCGCGTCACGACAAAACCAACATAATGGGTTTGCGACCAGCATGGATCCAGACCAGCCTGCGCATCCGCGCAATCTGATCAGGATCCATGCTGTTCGCTATCAGTTTCTCTACTTGTAATAGGGTAGGTAAGCAAATTTAAAGCTGGCAAATCCATTTCAAAAATTAAGAGTATATATAAATCAAATGGTCACACACCTATTAACTATCTCACTACTAACTAAATAGAAGAGAACGTACAAGGAAAGGACGCCTTACCTGTAAAATTGATACAATAACTCCGAAGAGTCCAATAGCACTGCCAAAAATTTCAATGATCAAAATTTTTACGAAGAGACTTGCGCTTTGTGCATCAGCAAGTGCGGCTCCGGAACCGACAATTCCTACACATATACCACATGCGATGTTGCAAACACCGACCGTCAGACCAGCTGCAAACATCTTATAACCTGGAGAGATAAAGTAATCTTTAATGAGTTAAAATATAACTGGAATTTAACATATTATATGATATGTTAAGATATAATCATTATTTTTGTTTGAATAAGATTAAAGCTGTGTGCAATTACTTTAAACATGTTAAACCAGGTAGGACTGAGGTAGGCAGCTTATGAGAAAGCTGTTAAACTAATAAAGGGAAATCAAATCTAACTTGACTATATGTTGTGCTTCATAATAAAACAAGAGTCATGCCAAGTCATTTTAAAGTTCTAAAAGGTAAATAACTCAGTAAGTTTTTTACTACATTGATGAACCGTGCTTCTTGACCTAATGTACATTTAAAGCCCTCACAACAATTGTGTGAGTGATTTTTCAAGTGAACGATTTGGTTTGGTAAGTTTGTTGGTTTTACTCTTGACTTTATTTTTGCTCATTTTTTCGTCTATTAATCCACCGTACCAGTTTTCCTGGACAATGAACCAGTAAAAATCCATTTTGCTGCAAATAACCATCTACATGTATCACTCCTGGTCAGCAGTGAGAGACAAACAATCATTGAACTCAGTGTCAGAGATCAGTTCTCACGCAGAAATTTGGGTCCTCATTGAGAAATTTTGTCTAGCATGGGGATTGAACCAGCACTTCTGAATAACAAATCTAATGTGCCCCCTTTTGAACCAAACAGGTTGACCTTAAAGTGATTATCATCAAAAAATAATGATGAATAAAGGTCCACACAGCACCTTAAGCAAGGGGCTGGAAGAAGCTAATCACTATATTGGCTCATATATAAAATCTAATTGGCTCAAGAAATATGGCATTGGCCACAAATATCAATTCTCTATATTAACAGGATAAAAGTCATCCATGGTGAGGAATAAGGTAATTTGGCTAGAAGGAAAATGGGCTAGAGCTAGCCCTGAAGTGCAATGAGAACACCAAGGACAATGCAGGTAGATAGCCCATTTTCCTTCAATAATCAAGCTGAAGATGTTATCATAACTAAATCTATACTATTTTATTCTTACCAGCATAATATGCATCTCTTATAACCTCAGGCTTATCTATTGTTTCGTCATAACCCTGAAAAAAAAGTAAAAATATAAATTCTTTTGAATGTTTACATGACAATTATGTTCTCCCTGATTTTATGCCATCTGGCTCCTTCCCCATTTTAAACACTATAGTATTATCATTATAACCAAATAATAAGTATAGACTTTATTTGATTGATTTTACAGCACACCAGTACTGTACACATATAGGTCATATGGTGCAGAAACAGTAAAGATGATTTTGGCTAACCTAGGGTGTTAAAAGCACCAGCAGGGGTCACAACCACTTCAACTGCTGAAGCTTAGAGATGCATAGAGACTCCAGTTCTTTCGAACCCACAAGGTGTCTGCTTCTAAACCTAAGCAGCATTGAGTCCAGCCCTGTGATGTGTTCTGAAAGAACCTACATCTAATTAATTTATAATTTCAAGTATTTTTCTGCAACTTCTGCTCAAGGTTTGATTGGGTTTTACATCACACCAATACAGTATAGATCATATGGGGACTTTCCAGCTTTACTGGTGGAGAAAGACTGGTGGAGGAAGACCTTAGGTGCCCTTCCATGCATTATTTCAGGCACAAACGGGCATCTGAGTAGAACCACTGACATTCTTTAAGCTAGCTGGTTAGCTTCCTTACATGTACATAAAAGATTCCAAAGTCCCTGTCAGGATACGAACCCACAGCAGAAAGGGACAAGTTGTTTTAAGTCAATGACTGCTCACACCAACTTTCAACAATCTGGCTCCCAGAGATTGTGCATGGCTATATATTTTTATTTACAGCTTTTATTTATTAACCTGTGAATCATTGGGAAAGCCAGAGCCTTAAGTAGCAATTTCAAGAATGAAACTTACGGAAACCTATTTCATAAAACCAACAAAAATGAAACATCATAAAACAACTTACCCCAATATTGTTTGTAATGACGATAGCCATTATGATACCATAGATGGCTACAGCCTCACAGAAGATGATGCTGATTAAGTTTTTGGTTTTTATTCTTGGAGCTTTTATACCACCTCCTATAATGCTAGAACCTGTTGTGAAAATTCCCCTGTGAAATAATAATGAGTGTCAATAAAATTTGCAAGGTCAAGTTTTACACTCGAGTCTCTTTGATATGTAATATTTTCATTGCCTGACACTCTGGAAAAAAAATACATTACTATATGTCAGCAACAACAAAAATTGTGATCCAAACAGTTCTTTAACATGTATTTAGGTTAATATTGTAAGCAATAATTATACTTTAAAAAATTTTGGAGTTATTTCCCATTTTCTTTCAAGTTTCAATGTGGCCTATATCAGGACAGGTTAAATTGCACAATTCATGCCTATTATATTTGTAAAATTTTGGCAGTTCAGAATAAAGCAAGAGGCCTATGTAAGGTACCTACCTAACAAATATTCAATAAAAGAAGCGCTATAAAAAATTAATGATGTTTGGAGGAAGGTTAATAAAAATATATTTTAACTATACTATAGGGAACTTTTGTATCAAATTATTTGTTATATCAAAATTATGTACTACAAACGTTACATTTTATTTTGCCACCATTTTTAATGCCGTTACATTGTTTCTTTGATGTCATGTCCATTATATTTTGATAAAGCTACTGTATCTAGCGAAACATGTAAATATATGTTTGAAGATAAAATACACAATTGCTGTTGGACTTTTTACCTTTGGCATTAGCATTGAAAGAAAAAATTAGTTTAACAGAAAAATTTCAGAAAGACAAATAATAATGAGAATATAAAACGGCAACAATTGTTGTTGAATACTGACCAGGCTGCGCCGACTACCGATAATGAGATAGACAATCCAACACCAGTACACGCCCACATATATGGTGATATACTCATCAGTAACCTGTACAATTAAAACAAACAATTAAAGATATACTTTATAATGCTCATCTTTGAGAAAAATACTTTAATCACAGAAATTTATATTGAAATCTATGGAATTCGTATTGAATATGTCTAATTTGAATAAAAGAATGAATAAAGTATGTATGGGAAGCAGAGTTCACAATTACCGACCATTTAATGTTGGTCTTTTCTTAAAAAAAACTGCCAGTTCTTTAATGACACTGTTTATACATCTTGTGACCATCAATAGTGTGTTGAATTTAAAACAAAACATATAGATCTACTTTGTGTGAAGTCAGAACATGTTTAAGAGACTGTGTAGCAATTATCAATATTTTTGAATAACAAATTTGAGCAAAGTATATCTTTAACAGCTGATGGTAGGTATAAGGACAGCATACACGACTACTCTCAGTGCTTGATAGTAAAACAAGAGCCCTGATATAATGTAGATTTTTTTTTAAGTTTAAAAACAGCCATAATTCTGTCCAAATCCATACTAAAATTTAGTGTCAGATTTATTCAAGCTCAGAAATTTTATTTTCTTCCTTGAAAATTACATTACATAATTATTTTCCTTTGCTATAAAATAAACTGATCTCTTCCTGAACAAATATATCTACTAAATCAACAAATAATATTTACCATCCTATGTCAAATCTTCCACCTTGGTTTGTCAAAAGATAATAGCCAGCTGAAATACAAGAAAAGATAATATAGTAATGACCAGACAACCACTCATCATTTATTTGGGTAATTTTTATATGCTGGTTAAAAGAATGATTTAAAAAATGAATAAACTTAACTTATCAAAAATAATAGAGTGATAGTTACTGGAATGTGTACAAGGAAGTGGAATATTGAACAGGTTAATTCTGTAAATAAATATTTGTCCAAGGTAAGTAAATTATTAGTAACATTTACAATTTAAATTATAACATTTTCTAGCCTAGCAAATTATTATTACCAATATAATTATTGTTGTTGTTTTTTTTTTAATTTTAATTTCATAAATCTTAATTGTAAAGTTCTGTGACTTGTAACAGAGGTAATGGATACTTCAGGGATCAAATTTTTTTTTGGAGCAACACGTCCTGGGTAACTACTATATTCTACTTGTCCAGTATTTTCAACGTTTTTTCCTCTACTCTGGGAAAGGTGCCGGTACCAGATTGATTTGGGAAAATGCGTTATTTTGACTCAAATTGGGATTTTTCTCAAGCATTTTTTCAGCATAAGATTAGTCATATTGAATAAAGACAGACAACAGCTTTCACTGTCCAGGTAGAACTTTTGAGCGGAGATTTATATAAACATGATTTTTGATTTTAAAATGATTTAAGAGAAATCTCATGGTCTTAATATTTTGGGAATTTTAAACGGTCATTTTGGGAATTTTAACATTGGAAATTAATACCCCCCGCAATACTGCTTCGGAAATGAGGATGTCACTAGTAACAGAATACCTTGTTAAAGAACTGAAATAGAGTTATGGTTGTGGGCAATTAAAGATAGTTGTGTTTTTGTATGTTGCATTTCCTTTCAATGTGGTTGGCCACTGATGAAGTTTTATTGAATTACTCTATAATAAAACCAGAAAGACAAGGAAAAGGAACAAAGGGCAATAACTCTATAAATACTGAAGATGGAGTTATGGTTATTGTACACTGCACTTCCTCTCATTGCGCTTGACCATTGTATGAAGTTGTATTGAATTCCAACTACTAGTTTTCAAGTTATGCACTGGACAAAAAAAGTAACAAAGGGCAATAACTGTAATTAGTCCAAATAGAGTTATGGTTCTTGTGCACTGCACTTCATCTCACTGCCCTTGACCATTGTATGAAGTTTCATTGAATTCCAACCATTAATTTTCAAGTTATGCACTGGACAATTAAAAGTAACAAAGGGCAAAAACTTTTAAATGAGTCAAGAAAGAGTTTTGGTTTCTGTGCACTGAGCTTCCTCTCAATATACTTGATCATTGTATGAAATAGTATTGAATTCCAACAAGTAGTTTTCAAGTTATGCTCTGGACAAGAAAAAAGCAATGGAAAAGTAACAAAGGGTAATAACTCTATAATTACTCTGGATAGAGTTATAGTTCTTGTGCACTGCACTTCCTCCTATAGTGCCATAAAAACAAGAAACATGGCAATGCCATGAATTCAGGTTTCAAATATCACCATTGTAGATATATATGTTGTAGTTGAAATAAAAGGAACATACAATGTAACTATGTGCAATGTAAATCATGAATAATGAATTTTCTATTTTTAGTAACTGTAACCTTGACCCTAGGGTGCCAAAAATCCATCTCAAGTGAGGTCTTTATAAAAACTTGTTTTGCACCAAATTTCATAAAAATATCTTATTCAAAACTAGTTATTGACCGGAAACCTGTTTTCTATTTTTAGTAACAGTAACCTGACTGGAATTTTAGCAAAAATGACATTGACCATTCATGACTCTATAGGACCCAAAAGCCACTTAAATGGCCTGTTGACATTTTTAGTGAGTGTGATTTGAACATAATATGATTTTATAAATAATAGGTGATTAGGAGTGGATTGAAGGTAATAATTGATGCATAACTATAAATTCTCATTTGGCAAATTGTATCTTGTGGAGATTTTGTCACGCTCAAATGTGTGCATTTCCTGATTTTCACAAGTCAAAACCCAGATACCCATGTCAATCAACAGTCCTGGTATAAGTCAGTAAATCACTTTTATAATTTTGGAAAAAAAGTATTTTGTAAGAAAAATAATAATAAAAGTGGCACTGTTTTCGTAACCATCCACGCATATTTAAATGAACCAGAGGTTAATCTCGTACTCCTGTAGTCATGTGATCAAACTTTTTCGAAAGATGGCAGTGAAACAGTGATAATTTCACCTATTGGAAATTATCAGATAGTTTATGTTCGAATTCAGTTTTTTATATGGTGTTACTTGGCTTATTTTACAGATTATATATAATTTTATCAGCATATGCTTCTTTTTACTTCATGCCGTCAGACTTCCTGAAAGTTGAAAAAACTGTCAGACATTCGGTCTGACAAACCATGAAAATCTGTCGGACCGCAACAAAATCTGTCAGACCGAATAAAATTGATCAAAATCAAAGAAAAAATTGTGTTTGTATTTCTAAGACACTTTTTGGTTTTAATTTTTTCGCCGTAAAAATTGGCACATTCCATACAGCGCATTTTCATCTCCTCCCTGTCATACACCAACGATTCATGGTCCTGCTTCCATTTTTCCTTAAATTTTGTCTCAGGTCTATTCTTTTCATCCTTTTATTGCTGTTCTGCACGCTCCTCTGATGTAGATTTTCAATTTTTCCAAGGTTAGGCACCTTTAGCAACGCCATTTTGTAAATATTGCGGCTTCAATAAAAGCCGGACAGTCTGACCGATCCGTAATAAAAAATCGTCGGACCTGATCAAAATTTATCGGACATGTCCGTCGGACCGACGTATTTCAGGAAGTCTGTGGCGTGCTTGATGAAAGAACTCTTTAACTTTCTGGCAATTTCTGACACGCAGACATATCTAAACCTCCCCCTCCCCCCGCGAGTGGTTTGACATTAATGGAAGATTGATGGTGTGGATTGTGAGTTCTGATTGCAGAACTTTGATAAATCATTAAAATGGAGGTTACTGGCTAAACAAGTTGACCAATAAATAAAAATTTTGATAAAACAATTTTGCCAGTCGCACAACTTGAACACTTAAGCCACACCGATGTACAGTCTTCACCCCCTCGACGTCGATGGCTACCTGGTGGATACTGTCGGATTAACTCGTTGAAGTTGAAGTTATGTCTGCTAGGACCGCTAAGAGAGAAAAACAGGAAAAGACAAAAGTTAAATTTTTCATCCTTAAAATTTGCAAACATATTTCTTACCAATAATAGTGATAGCTAGGACTCCAATAGAGTATACAATGCCGTAAACCGGATAGGCTGATACACCCATACTTTTCGTCGGCCCTTTTGGCTCATAATCCATGATTTTTGCTTAAAATTTAATAATTATTGAATATATTTTCTTATTATTTATTCATTTCCGGTACAAAACGGTGTAGATGTAAAAAATATGTCATGTGATATTTTCACTTCCGGTTATCGAAAATCCTGCACCATACTGTCGTACCTGTAGACGTAATGTCCCCATTATACGTCGCCCAGCAAAGGGGGTTGTAACGGTGCCAGGACCATATTTTAGGGTCAGTTGTGACCAAAACTGGGCCCAGACCCCCCAAAAACAATGGGATAACTCGTATATATAAAACATGTGACAACCCTTAATTATATATAGACTATACTCAGTATAGACTACTGTATATTTAAGGGTTTTTTGGTCACAACTGACCCTAAAATATAGTCCCCGGGATGGTGTGTTCCTGCAAATGGCCGTTCTAAAAGAAATATGCATTGATGCTGTTGTCTTCTCCGGTTATTACCACGTACGTACTCCGGTTACTACCACTTACGAAGAACAGGTTTTGTTTGAACACAATGTTGATCGGATATACAGTATGGTTCATTTCGGAGCCGAGCAAAAGTAAAACTTAAAAAAAAACAACCAATAAAATGTTGTGAAAACTTGTGTAAGGATCGATATTAAATGATAGTATAAACTAATATGAGTAAACCAGACAGACTTTAGTTGTATTTAGAGTCCATGTATGAACTAGACAACAAAAATATGAGGAATGTTGTTAATTATTTTAAGTTTTAGTTTACGTTACAGCTCATTTTACAGGACTTATATATAAGATTGAACATTTATTCTAGAAGGAAATATGGACTCAAATGAAATCTATGTTATTAGTCATTGTTCGAATTAATAAACAATGGACTATGGACATTTCTATAATGATATGACGTAGCTACAAGTAAAGTTAAGCTGACTATCCCCTCTATTGTTTCATTTTCTTAATATTTTGCTTCTTCAAGTTACATGTATAAACTGGTGAAATTCATGGCTATATATAAATGACACTATTTTTAGTAAATTTACCCTCCCCATTAACTTTCTATTTTAAGTAACATGTGAATTATGTTAAATGCATCATCAATCATCGTGTAAGAAGATATTTTTGTTACTGATCTGAAGACTGTTTGTGTTTGGAAATTTAAGTAAATAATTCTGTTAAAACACTGGAAGGTTGTAGCAAGTACTTTTTTCCTAGAATATTCTTTCAGTAATTTAAATTACACCAAATTAATTTAGTTTATATATAAGTATCGGTTAATTTCAAGCATGATTATATGTTGTTGTTGTTGTTGTTGTGGTTGTTGTTGTTGCTTTCTTTCTCCTACATGATATCGTAGCAGAGTTAAGTATGTTGTGTTTTCTCAGTAAATAGATTAAGATATTTCTTTCGTTGCTTTCATTAACATCAGTTTTTATATGTTAAATATGAAAATACCCAACCATAGTTCACGGAGACGTGTCTGCGCTCCTTTTACCATTAAGGACAGGAATTCAACTGGTTGGAGCTATTTTGATGTTTCGAGCAAATATATACTTAAAATCTAAATTTGAATCGTTAGAATAAAACAAACAGTTACTTAAATATAGACTAGACTACAAGATCCATATATTATATTTTTTTTCATTTAAACGTATATAGGCCCAATTATTCATTATTACACTTCAATGTTTTAATTTGTGTTACTTTACATTGGTTTGCACCGACGGTTTATTAATGAATGGATACAGTATTACTTTTTTCACAAATGATATCTAAAAAAAAGAAGAAAATTCACACATATACAATTGAACAACGGTATATAAGCAAAGTTTAGTCGTTCCGTATGGATTAACCTTGTTACGCTCAAGTACACACTTGAAATTTTATATGTGGGAATTTCCATTTGGAATTCCCCTACGTAAAAAGTTGGTCTTCCCTATTGTATATGGTTCCTATTTTACCAACAGGACATGCTTGATGCATTGATTTAATTTTGAATTATCAAAGGTATGTAATATGTTACTTTTCGTTTTATATTTTTGATGCACATTATTTACTTTAAATACATAAAAGTAATATATAACTTATAACATAAGAGTTCGACATGACTAAAATATTTAAGATCTGGTTGTGATTTTGATGAATTATATTTAATAAGTTTAAATATTCGTAACTCCATGGTGTACGGCGACCATGACGGATCTATGGAAAACTGAAAGTAGATTTTAATTTAATTTAAATACTTAATAGTAATACAAAACTTTTAACAGGTTAAAGGTGTACGACAATCTAGAAGTATCTCCGGAAAACCGGAAGTAGATTTTCCTTTACGTTATTCACGTTGAACGTTTACGTTGTTTGAAATGTCTGAACAACGTTGCTTTTTTGATGTATGGTTACAAGAATTATATAAATGAAATGCACGACATTCCTTTACAGCGACCATAACCATTTACTATCAACATGAAGTTATTGCTATACATGAATCAAACAATACATACATTTTGTTATTTGCCTAATAGCATGCACGTTTTCGATTTGATTTGTCTTTTCCTGTATGTGTACACACAATTGCTAGCATCTAAGAAATTCCAAACAAGGATGGTTTCGAATTCCTTCTTGAAATATTGGAGAAAAGTAAATTTTAATTTGTTCCGTTACATTACAACCGTTTTAAAAGCATGTTAGAGCTAACATTTCTATTGTATTTTAATGGTCTTTATATGCCATTTTAAAGGTTTTTGTGTGCCATTTTTCAGGATTTAATGCGCCATTTGGCAGATTTATGTAAATGACATTACACGAAAAAACAGGTTGCGCGATAGCTCAGTTGGTTAGACCACTGGCTGTCACTCCTGAGGTCCGGGTTCGATCCTGGGTAACACCTTTGGGATTTTTTCAGAGACACTTTCAGTATATTCCCACCTAACTAGAGGTGTACTGGTAAGAAATCCAGGTAATCCTCGCATGTATCACTGGGCATGTAAAAGAACCAAGGGGTCTTTTCAATAAGAACTAGTGACTGGTTCCCGGATTCCCTTGTATCTCATAACTGTCTCTGAAGTGACTAGTCTAGAGTCATGTCTATACGTCCCCGCGAATGGTTTGACATTAATGGAAGATATATAGATAGACAAATCACCTATATTAGGTTAAAAGTTACCTATATAAGTGCATAATTATGTTTCAAAACTTTCTCTGATATAATGAAATATGTTTTAGTATACTCGCATATTTGATTTATAACATATTTTCAAACTTAAAAAAGATCCACGTGCGTGTGTTATCAATTGATATGTAAATAGTAATATTGACTTCAAAGATTACTCAAAAACGAATAATAATTGAGCCGTGTCATGACAAAACCAACATAATGGGTTTGCGACCAGCATGGATCCAGACCAGCCTGCGCATCCGCGCAGTCTGATCAGGATCCATGCTGTTCGCTACCGGTTTCTCTACTTGTTATAGAGTTGTAAGCGAACAGCATGGATCCTGATCAGACTGCGCTGATGCGCAGGCTGGTCTGGATCCATGCTGGTCGCAAACCCAGTATGTTGGTTTTGTCATGACACGGCTCAATTATGGTTTAACACAAATTTGTCATTGAACTGATAACAAATGGTGTTGAAAATTCACTGTGACGGTGTTATGCAATTGTTATCTTGAGCTATCTTGTCCGGCTCATAAGACTTTAAAATACATTGTAAATTAAAGAAGGGAAACACCGATATTATCAGTTGGTTTTTAAATATAAATATCCAGGGCACTGATAAACTGCCTTCATTTGATGTTAACCACATTTTAAAAAGGATTTTGTGTTTGTTTATGTGATGACATTTTATTGGATATTAGAAAATGATAACGTTACAAAGGTAAAAGTGCACAATTATATGTGATTTTTGTCTTACAAAAAAAGTAGATCTAATAAGTTGTCTTACAAAAAAGTAGGTCTGATAAGTTTTTAAAGAAGCACGCCCTAAGATATGTAAAACTGAGTTCACAAAAACTAAAGATAGATGTCCTTCTAAGAAAAATGTTGTTACATGTACATACTAAGTGAATTAACTTGACCTAAGGCATGACTAATTCACTATCTTCAGAAATTTACTACATGTATAACTTAATAAAATTAACTATATCAAAATGGGGAAGAACTTTGGTGAACAAAAAATTAAGTCTATCATTATTATAAAACATTCAAAGTTCCGCGTGTATTTGGAATTATGGGGCATCAATGGTTAATGTCATTGACTTCAAACCACTAGCCCCTCACCATTTTGGGGTCGAACCCCGCCAGGAATTTTTCTTTCATGTGACGAAGATGTCCAGCTAGCTTACGGAACGTCAGTGGTTCCACTCATGTGCCGCACGTGCCTGAAATAATGTACCGGAGGTCTTCCTTCACTGGAAAGTCGCCATTCATGACATTAGAAGTGTTGGTGCGGCGTAAAATCCAACCAAAATAAACAAATAAATAAATGAATAGATAAATGAATGAATGAATGGATGAACGAATGAACGAACGAACGAACGAACGAATAAATAATTAAAGGGACTCCACTTAGATTTTTTGACATGATGGGACGGAAAATATTTTTTCTAGATAAATGTACCATTTGATGTAGGTTAAGACCTCTAATCTTTGTATACAAACTGTCAGATCATTCGCGCACTTCGTTTTTCCAGAATAATTATTCAAATTGTAAAACAAAATGACTCAAAATAAAAAGCGTTTAAACGCTTTTCACTCAAACCGGGCTAAGAAAAGCATAGAAAAAATGAGTTTCAATTAATTTCAAAGAATATTTCTTAACTATCTTTGTATATATTTCTGTTTAAAGTGCCCCAGCTCATTCATGTAAGAAATTCAAATTTATGTTTTTAGGTTTTTAAACCTCAGTGGAGTCCCTTTAATAAATATATTTATATATAATATAATAACTTAATAAGTACTGTATCTAAATATTTCTTAACCCTTTCCCTCATGAGCATATTTTGAAAAATGGCCGTTTTCATTGAAGAGCCTCCAGTTACAAGTTCAAACTGCTATGAAATTATGAAAAATACTTCGATACTAATCAAACTTGGCACAAATGTTGACTGGACCATTGCCTTTGTAACGACATGCTAAGTCTTAAATTTCCTGTTACCATTGCAACTAGGGGACATCTCAAAATTGCCAAAAATCACCATTTTGCGTTGATTTTTTTTCCCATCAAAATTGATTTCAAAGTGCTGTAACCTCTCAATGGATTGAGATAGAGTCAAAGGCCTTTCAGCGTTGGTTACACATTAAATTTTAATCGACCTGGTGTCATTTTTAGCCTCTCACAAGTCCAAAATTTTCTTGGCGCCGAAAAAGTGATCATTATTTTAGCAAATTTCCCAAACGGTGTCTAGGGCTTAAATAGGGTAGTTTTCACTGTTTGAGGCCTCACAAGGGGGGGGGGGGGGTCGAAAATCCGTCAAAACACGTCTATATGAAGTAAAGGGTTAAACTATAAAACCTTTTTTTTTTACAATTGACTATTCATTTGGAGACGTTCCGCTTTAATTACTGTAAAGCAAATTGCACATTGTATTAATTATAATTTATGATACATGTACTGAAATAATCATCATCATAATAAAGAATTTACTAATACAATGCAGCCAGGAAGTTTATAATGTGTAGTGAGTGGACATTTATTACTTGAATTTATGACTAAACAATAACACAAAGGAAATTGTATGTTTGTGTGAAATCTTTGCTACTTTCTTTTCTGAATAAAATCAAGCATTGTCTTTATAACAATAGATGTCAGTATTTCTCTCATTACTTTTATCGTTATTTTCTGCCATATAATCTTGAATTATCATTATCCGTTTATCATCATCTTCATAATTATCATCATCATCATATTCAATAACAATATTACCGGCATTGTCATCACCAGAGTCATCATTTTTATCATTATTATCATCACCGCTACTACCACATCCATCGTCATCATCATCATCATCGTCATAATCATCATCGTCGTCATCATCAACATCATTATCATCATCGATTCAACATCATCATAATCATCAATATCATCATCATCATCATTATCATCACTAACATCATCATTATAATTATTATCATAATTATTATTATCAACTAACAAAAACAACAAAATAATCATTTTTATTTCATCATCATTGTGGTCATCGTCATCATTATCCTAATCGCCGTCGTTGTCATCATCATCATTGTAGCAACATCATAAGCATCAGCATCATTATCATCATCATTATCATTATTAACATTTACCAAAGAACACAACAAAATAATTTTTATTATATCAGCCGCCACCATCATCATTGTCGTCGACGACGACGTCATCAAAATAATTATCATCATCATCATTATCATCATCATCATCGTCATCATTATCATCATCGCCATCATCATTATTATTATCATCATCATCAACATCATCATCATTATCAACACCACCACCACAATCATCATCATCATTACGATCATTAACATTTACAAAAGAACACAACAAAATAATCATTATTTCAGTCGCCACCATCATCATTGTCGTCGACGACGACGTCATCAAAATAATCATCATCATCATTATCATCATCATCATCGTCGTCGTCGTCGTATTTGTCGTCGTCTCATTACTTTAAGCTTTATCTTGTACTATTTTTAGACACAGGAGGCGAGTGAGGAGCATAATGTCAGTGTCATCTCGTGCAAGTTTTCGTCATGGAGCACCCGGATGTAGTCACGGAAAGAGGAACAGTGGTACCAAGTTTGAAACTGAGAACGATATATATGCCGCATACAGTGAGGAAGATCAGCCGGATGTTTTACGTATACTAGATATATTAAAGATGAATCAGCTCACAGTGTATGACCCCCATCTAGATGCTTTACCGTGTAAGTTTATTTTCATATTAATATCTAAGATATTCCGATTAAAGCAGCATGCCTCCAGATATGCTAAATATTTCAAGAAAATCAATCTTTGGAAAATGTACTGATATTCTAAGAAAAGTAAGAATAGTCACAATTCAAGTATTACATGTTACATGTTATATGTAATAATTAAAATGACTGCTTTGCAGTAAAGATCACCATATTTTCAAGTGTCGTTTGCAATGTGTAGATTACCTTCTTTATTCATTAGACACAACTCTATCTTTCTTAATTTTTTTTTTAATCATAAAAATGAGTATGAATCTGGAGGCATAATGCTTTAATGGGAGAACCATTTAAACGAGCAGATTTTACCGAATATGAAAGAATCGGAAATATATGAAATAGCATATTGTTCAACCGGAAGTAACAGGATACAGACGTACCTGGCATAACCTACTATTTGTTTTACTCGTCGTTTTTGTGTTTTCAAGCATATTTCATTGCTTTGAATAACTTATCAACATTGTGTATATGACTAAATAGTTTTAAAATAAAAGCGTACACAATACATGGCCATATTTCAATTTCAACTAATGATAAAATTTATATTCCTAGTTGTTAAATTAACATACATGTTAATATTAAATAGTATATAAATTTTATTTCCAACAGCTCAAACCATTTTTAAAGCCTGGCTGGAACAAGGGATACACATGTCAAAAATCACGGTGATTTTTCTGACAAAGAAGTTCATAAGTCATGTCTACTGTAGATATCAGGCTGACAACGCTGTTGTCAGATATGCAAAAACCAAAGGTCGACATAGGGTCATACTTGTCATGCTTCAATCGTGTAAGATTCCGAAGAATTTACACCATTTCAACTGTGTGTACGCCTGGAGGTTCCGTGAGAGCCCGGAGGAGCAGTATGCAAGGATTTTAAAAGCAATATTTGGTGAGTTGGTATTTTTGGCCGGGTTGCACAGGTGCAAACCCGGGTTATAGTATGTTGAATGTTGGGCGGCGGGCGGGTGGGGAAAAAACTTTCGTAACAGTTTTCTCAGCAGCTACTTATCACAGCCTCTTGATATTTGGCATACAGCATTAAAATATGATCCCATACTGTGGGATTTGATTTCAGGTCAGTCGCTTATTAACTTCCTGTTTGCCGACTTAGTTTAATTTTCTACATTAATGGTCAATGGTAGGAAATTTTCGTAACAGTTTTCTCAGCAACTACGTATCACAGCCTTTTGAAATTTGGTATACAGCATTAACACATAGTCCCATACCGTGGGATTTGATTTCAGGTCTGTCGCTCATCCACTTCCTGTTTGCTGACTTAGTTAAATTTTCGACATTAATGGTCAATGGTAGGAAATTTTCGTAACAGTTTTCTTAGCAACGACTTATCACAGCCTTTTGAAATTTTGTATACAGCATCAACACATGGTCCCATGCTGTGGGATTTGATTTCAGGTCTGTCGCTCATCCACTTCCTGTTTGCCGACTTAGTTAAATTTTGACGTTAATGGTTGGAAAGTTTCGTAGCAGTTTACGCAGCAACTACTTATCACAGCCTTTTGATATTTGGTATACAGCATTATCACGTGGTCCCATATTTCAGGTCTGTAGCTCATCCACTTCCTGTTTGCCGACTTAGTTAAATTTTGACATAATTTTAATGATTCAATGTAAGGAAATTTTTCGTATAGTTTTCCCAAAGCAACTTTTACCACAGCTTTCTTGATATCTGGTTCATAGGCATTGAACATGGTGTGGGTCTCATATTGTGGGTTCCATTTTCAGGTTTCTGTGCTCACTCCACTTCCGGGGTTTTACCGGACTTAGTAATTTTCAAACATAATGGTTTCAGTGGTGTAGAAATTTAAAGAACATCACAGCCTCATGTATTTTGTTATAACTATGCAACCCGGCCTTTTCTGTATTCGACCCATTTTTATTTATTATCACAACAGAACAGAGAAGATTTTAGATTTCAGTTGTTTTGATTTTTCAGCATTTTTCATAGTTTCATAGCAGTTTGAACTTGTAACAGGAGGCTTTTCAATGAAAACGGCCATTTTTCACAATATGCTCATGAGGGAAAGGGTTAACGTTATCTTGGTGTCAGTTTAAGTTGTGTTTGATTGAAACAAGGAAGTTCATGAGATCAACTATTTTATCATTGAAGGGGGTCGATTTTAGTTTTATCATATATCATGATAATTTTACATGTTTATTTTAGCTCGATTATATTGAAACGTTGCACATTCCGGACCCGCTTCCTGGAAATAATCATAACTGTTGACATAAATTACAAGAAAATAGGATCGTCAAGTCAGTACGGCTCGAGCTCACGACCCCTGGCTTGAGCAGCCACTGCGCCCCATTTCAGTTCAAGTTATTCTTTAAAGGGACCCACCTAGGTTTTTTTGACATGACGGAGTTGAAAATATTTTTTTCCGAGATTTGTTTTCCGATTGATTTAGGTCTAATATAATAACGTGTGTGCACATTTATAGCTCCTTCCCTCATACTGTTTTTTTTAGAAAAATCATTTTTATTGTGAAAAATATCACAAAAATGAAAAGCGTTGCAATCCTTTTCTCTCAAATTCGGCTATTAATCGCATATAAGACAGACATTCAATTATATATTATATATATTTTGTATATTTCTTTGTTATCCTTTGCAGTATTTTCTTCTTCCAATTTTAGTACTTCACTTATTTGTAAGATTTTCAAATTTTGTTTTATGCCTTTAGACCTCAGTGGAGTCCCTTTAATGCATTGATATTGAAGACAAATTGTCAAGTTACAGCATTTTATATAGAAAGATTTCTTTATTACATATACCACCCTTAAGTATAATTTTTTTAACGGTACCTAGTAAATATGCAAGTATGGAAAGCCTTGACTGTCATGATCAGGATCGTTCCACATAATTTATTCATGAGTGCTCATTGTATAAGGAAAGGTTGACTCAATATATTGCAATTTTGACATAACAACGTTAAGGTTTATAATTATCAGACAGTAAAGGCTTTCCATATGCAATTTTATTTCTTTTCTATTTTATTCTGAATGACAAGTGGCATTGGCAAGAAGAGTATGTATATAATTATGTTGAAATAGGTTTAAAATACGTTCTTTTTATAACAATAGCAAAAGGAGTTTAATTTCATATCAATTCAACTACTAGTGTTTACGATTTGAACAAATGTATGGCCTTGCCAAAATCTTAATTTTCAATGTTTGTCAAGCATTTTTAGTCTACGTTAGCACGGTACATGTATATTCTTACACATTCAATATCAGGTACTACACGTCATATTGAAATATATTTATAACGGACATTTATTTTGAAGATTTATATAACAGAATTGTTTTAAGCTACGGCTCGTAAAATTAAAGTACGTCAGCTTTGCAAACTAAAATCCTGACGCGGCTTATGTGCTTCCCGTATTGTGTCCATATTATGGTTGCCAGAATTTCTTCCCTTTTATGGATGCGTATTTTTTTCTTATTTATGGAGCATATTTTTCCCTAATTATGGTTGGCAGATTTGTTCCCTTACTACGGTTGCCGACTTCTTCCCTTACTATGGTTGCAGACTTCTTCCCTAACTATGGTTGCAGACTTCTTTCCCTTATTATGGTTGCAGATTTCTTCCCTAACAATGGTTGCAGATTTCTGCCCTTACTATGGTTGCAGATGTCTTCCCATATTATGGATGCAGATTTCTTCCCTTATTATGGTTGCAGATTTCTTCCATTATCATGGTAGTAGATTGGTGATAAAATTGATTAACAATGTATTTCGCAGAAAATTGCAAAATGAACGCTCATACTTTTAATTGATCTAAATTTTCATATCTATTTTTAGCTCCACGTCACAAGTTCAGAAGAGGAACTATGTTATGGACAAATGTGGGTAGAAATACCGCCAAAATAGCAAATAAAAGAATAAACGAGCTTTCTGTCTTAAGCCAATCTGTTAAACAGGAAAAGTCATTGCTAAATTACGCAAATTTAGTCTTTAATTTGAGCAAAGTCAAACTTACTTTGGAAAACTGTGAGCTTAAATGTACGAGCGAAAATTGTGGTTTTCACTGTAGCGGCGACAAAATCATCGACAAATTCTTTCCGCATATCAAAAGATGTAGGTATCAACAGGTAAAATGTCGGTTTTGTCGGCAGACGACCTTACGCAAAAATCTTGAAAGACATGAGCAGACGACATGCAAACGCAGACATATCAAATGTCCAAATGATTCTTGTGGAAAGCAGTTAGCTGCAGCCGAAATGTTCAATCACGAGCGTAAATGCTCGTACAAAATTGTCGTCTGTCCAAATGAAGTTTATGGGTGTAATGGAGTTTTTGCGCGTAAAGACAAAACAAAGCATTTGGAAATTTGTGATTACGAAAAGATAACTTTGCAAAATCTGTGATTCTTTGATATTTCGTATTGATATGGAAACACACAAATGTGAGAAATGCGAAAAATTCCCGATTGCGACTTGCGTGGCAGACCGGGTCCATTCGCCGAGCAGACCGAGGTGTTTAAATGCCAACCCAAAAAAAAAAAAAAAAAAAAAAAAAAAAAAAAAAAAAAAACAATGTTGGGGCTGTGAATTTGTTGGCTACAGACATGAAGTAGATATTCATTCGTTGACATGTTGAATTTCGGAGGGTTCAATGTTCTGACTGCGGAATGAGGTTGTTTCACAACAGAGACCTTATTTGGCATCAGAAAAACTGTGACAAGATCATTGAATGTGAAGTCTGCCACCAGCTTATCCCAAGGTAACAAATACACTTTTTAATAAAGTTTTTATCTTATCTAATTGTGTCGTATATCATGTGAATGGTTTCTGGCATTTTAGAGTCATATATATATATTTTTTATGGATATTGTTGGTAACTTAATGATAAGTATGACATACATGATCTGATTTTACAAAATGATATATACGAGCAGCAGATAATATTTTTTTCTGGAACAAAATATTATTATTTATCATATAAATGTTTATACAAAATGGTACTGTCTCCTGGAACATTTGTTTCAAGAAATGTTTAATAAGAATATCCAAATGATACTAGTGGAAAATGTTCCCATTGTAGACCAATCCACTTAAAAATATACAAAATTAAAAAATCCCTGTATTTTCAAATTGCCTTGTCTGTGGCTAGCTTCGTTTATCCTCATTCTGGTAGCTTAGAATTACGTTCATTTTTATCATATGATTTTAGGTCATCAAAGTTTACACATGACCGATGGATATGCAATGGACAGAATATTCAAACGTTGTGTGAAATGTGTCATAAATGTGTCAGTAATGGCAGACGAGATTCACACACCAGATCCTGTTTTTGTGATTATAACGATTCACAGGTATGAAAGAGAATATTTTACTATGCATATGTTACTGTCCACCTTTATTTGTCATCCAATTAAAACGCTGTATTTCTTCAAAATTATCTGTGTTACTTTTCATAGAAGAACAAAAGTCGATACTTTGTATATGTTAGTGTTCATCCGTGCTGTTCTGCAGAAATTAGAAACTTCGACGGAAGCGATAGCCTCAGGTGGCAGTATCAGTGTTTGGACACCCCTACCCACCCTGCCACTCGACCCCTGCTACCACCCTGAAAAAAATTCAATACTAAGGCTTACTTTAAGATACTAAATACTAAACCACCGATAAAATTATACAAAAATCACTATTCAAAATTATAGTTATAAAAAATGTAAAAAAACCCTTTTTTCCAAACCCTGGAACCCCCGGAAATTTCGTCGTTTTCGGGTGGCCCCCGATGCGATTGAGGGCATTTTCCCCGGGCATCATTCCAAAAATTTAAAATTCCAGTTTTTTAACCTAATTAAAGTCCCAGCCGTCCCTTTTTTTATCAATTTTTTTTTGATTTTTTCCTGTTTCACCTTTTATTTTTTTAATTTGGGGGTGGGGCCAAAAATTTTTGGGTTTTAAAAATACCCGGGGGCGTTTTTAAAAACGTAAATTTGGTTTTTTGGACGAGTAAAAATTTGGCCCGCCCAAATTTCAAAAGGGGGTTAAAATTAAATTTTTTAAGTTTTTAAAAAATTTTGGGAATTTACTATACAAAATAGAAGTCGACTTTTGAACCAAATTCGATATGGGCATCGAATTTTTTCTTCTAATGAAAAATTAAAGGCCGAATTTTTTTAAAAGGGAAAAAAAAGGGCGTTTTCATTGGATGACAAATAAAGTTGGACACTAAAATTTGTTATTTTACCTTGCAGTTACATGTGTTGTATAATATATATTTTGGGTCATAGTACACTAAAATAATGTTTTAGATGTACCCACCTTCTGATAATAGATTGTTTAAACTGTCAATACAGTGTACTTTGCAAATACGCAGTATCTTTTAACTATGCAAATGTTTTTATCGATGACGAAATAATGATATCTGAACATTATTGTTGAATTTAATAATAAAAACAATTGTATAGTCATTCAATTAAATTAGTGATAATGTCCCTTTTTGTGTAATGACTTACCTCGTAAATGCTATACATGTATAAACTATAATATATCGCAGCTTGACCTTTGCGCAGTGACCCAGCATGGTCACAAGTCACATTTCGCACATGTCTGTATAATGTATATACGCATTGTTTTCTTTTATTTTAAAAAAAAACAAAAATAATAAAGCAACAACAAAAAGCAACATTGAATTTTGTCAATAAATAAAGACAATTTTGATTTTTTTTGTATAAGTGCATTAAGAATATACTTTTCATATAAAATAATCATAATTTGGTTTTGTAGACCGGAATGAACGCTGCCACACCACCAGGAACTATTCAATCACTTGCGCTTGGTACGCATCCCATACCGGAAACCGAACGTTCCTCTTTTGGAGCAGGTAAATCGGCTTTGTTGATTATTTATTCAGAGTGAGACTAAAAAAAGGATTGGAGCACCACACTAAATACCGTATTCCGGTACATACAGGACAAGGCGCTTGAATGATAATATGCTAAAATCTTGCCTTTTGACCCAACGGAATGAACTTTAAAAGGTTTAATTCATCTTTTCACTCCGATTTTTGTATGTAAATGCATGAAAAATGTAATCATCGGCGAAAAAAAAACGATATTTGTCTGTCTAGAAGTACTGCTCCAATCCTGTAATCACTTTAATTAAATCCATTATTTTATTTTATATATCTTACCCAGATAACATATAATGTTGTTTGTACACAAAATAAAACGTTTGGCAAAAATGGGCAGAGAGGCAAAGATATTTTTTAAATTTCTGATATACACGTATCTTATATTATTGGTTCTTGCCATTACATACAGTTTATAATTAATAATTTATTATACATGGAATGAACTTGTAAGGTGCTGTTTCGGGGTGCCCTCGACCCTTCAGCATCGTTTTACGAGGACAAATAAAAAATAGACACAAAGGAAATTTAAAAAAATGAGCAGAGAAGTGTTTTAGATATACAAACACGTATATTTCAACCTTTAATATTTGTATTTTACCTCTAACTACTACTTAACTACTTTTCTTTCTTAAAGATTTATTACATCCGAAATATAAAAAAAAGATATTCTTTTGCAACGGGGCAACGGTTTCAATTTGCGAAATTTAGATAAATCAATATCCCATGTCATTGTGCAGACGAACTTAAATCTCTCACACAACTTCCTGGATGAATGTAAAGCAAAATTTCAATGGTTCAAAGTATCAAATTACCGTGTATTTCATATGATAATAAGATATATGTACATTATGTTCTGACAAGTTTTAAACAATTTCTTGTTCATAATATGTTGAATATATAAATGAGTCACGTGTCTTCCTTTTTAACTTTATAGGCCCAAACTGAAAAAGTTAAGTTACTTAAGTCACGTAGGCTTTATTCATCATCTAGTCGATTTAGTGGCAGTTCAACTTGCGCCATTAAAAGCGGACGTATTCAGATTCATTGCAGACGGCAAAAATAGAAAATGTTTTACCTAAATATACATTTTATTATTCTATTTTCGTCATATTTGTGAATAGGTTTATTTTTTTTTAATTTAAAGTAGATATAGATCTGGGATCTACATCCATATATATGCATTATAATACCCAGGTGTATATCATTTGCTTTTCTTTTCATTAAAGGGTCTTCTAGCCTTCGAATGGCTGGGTATCGGCAACGCACCGGTGTGTCACCAACATACGAGAGGGCCGCTTTTTGACGTCATTCCAGTTTTCTTCTTCACAAGGCGGGAAAAATTTCCCAAGAATTTGGAAAGACTCCCACTATAGGCCCTTTGTCTTATCATTATCTAGAAATACACCCGGGGTGGACACCATCAACCAAAAACCAATGCCGGGCCCCTGATGCCCGCAGATTGACAAAAACGCAAGTGGGCTTTCGGGGCAGCCATTGTTAAATGCTGGGTTAACCCCCATAAGTATTTCCACCAGTGGGAGACCAAAAAAAAAGCGACACGTGGGTTGCCAATTTTTGCCTTTTCCATCTGTTTATGGTCTGTTTTCTGTTCCTGATTTTAGTGATTAGTTTTAAAAATTTGTTTTGATTATAAAATTGAAATCCCAAAATTTGATTATTCAGCGTGATAAAAGCTTAAAGGGGACCCCGATAAATTTTTTTTTAATGACAGGACTAGAGATATTTTTTTTCAAGATTAATGTTGCATTCGATGAAGGTCGAGACCAATAACTTGTGTGTAAGATTTCAGATCATTCATTCACTCCGATTTTCCAGAACGATTATTTTTATTGTAAATATGACCCAAAATACTCCAATCTGACTAAAAATAACACATTAAGACGTTTGTCAATTTATTTCTGAGGATATCTTTTTAATTATCCTTTGCAAATCTTTCTGTGTTAAATACCCCAGTTGATCTGTGTAAAAAAAATCAAATTCTATTTTTTTAGACTTTTGACCTCAGTGGGGTTCCTTTCACTACATGCACTAGGCTTGCAAGGATAAAATTTACATATATTCACATAATCCCTTTGTCTTTTGAACATTGCTTACGAGAGATCGCCCCTTTTCTTGATTGTTTAGTTTGTTCCATCTTGTCATATAAAGTTAATGGTCTGATTATAGATGCACAGCTTTACTAATACATAGGCAACGCTAAAACATCACAAATTCTTTAACTATATCCTTTAAAACAACCTTATTCTGCATAATTAGTAATATAACTTTTTATACAAAGTTAGAATTCCCTGAGGCACAAGCCTGTGTTTTATGAAAAGAACAACAAAACCCAATACTATCACATGTGATTGTGAAATGTAAACAAACAGTTCAATAACGTAATAACGTACATGTACAAGTATGATGTTGATATCAAAAATGTATTTATAATTTATCTTTTTACTTTATTATTTAACAAAAATATAGATAAAAAGGGTTTTTCATCTATTCCAGTTAAGAAATATTAACTAAAAGCCATATATGATAAGAATGAATTTGAGCATTTATTTATTTAAAAAAAATCGTCGTTGGCAGGAGATTCGAGATTATATATGCTCAGCTCAATATTGTTGTTGTTGTTGTTTTTCTATTCTATTCATTTAATATTTAACATTGTATGTTATATAAATATAATATGCATATCATTTTTTTGTATAAATACTAATGTCTTAAATTGTAAAACATTTGATTAAAAATGATGTACACTAGTGAATATTTAGTTATATTTTATGTATTTGATAATTCTAAGTTTTCCAACTTGTGTCATGTGACGTATCATGTGACAGGGTGTTTCCACTGTGAGAAAAGTTAATATGGCGGCTCTTATACCAAAATTATCTTCACTATATATCCTATATATAAACATTAGCCTTGTGGCAATTTTACTAACTCTCCAGGCAAATCAAAGTCACTTGTGCTTATAGTATCACCCAAGATAAATAAGTCCAGTTATTGTAAACTAGGGGTCATGTGGCATTTTCCCACAGCAATTCGTAATAGGTTTAGTACATGAAACGAGTTAGTTACGAGGATATAACACTGGCTGGGGCGACATCAAGGGGTGTTTCTTCTAAAAAAAATGTTATTATCTGCTATTCAAAAGGGGAGTAAATAACTATTATATTTAAATATGATTTAAAGAAAGTTATCTCCCATTAACAAATAATCATTTATCTATTAAACAGAATAACTGATAAGAAATCTATAATTTATTGCGACAATAATTATCTTTAACGCTCTATGGACCTTTCCGGTGTTTGCAGTTTTATGTAAATTGGCTAACTTGTTATCCAATCGCTACACTGATATAATATATAGTTACTGGTTGACCTGGGGTTAGTATCTCGAAGCTATCGTTAGCATAACGACTATCGTATACCTCTCGTTAAGGTTTTCACCGCTATCTCGACGCTCTCGTAAATTAAGAATAATTCGTTTAACAGGCCCAATTATTAAGGATTGCCTAGAGGGTGTCGTAAGGCTCTCATTACTATTTCATTTTGAACAAAAGTAAGAAAGGGTGCGATTTCTAAGTACATAAAAAATTGAGAATTATATCATTTCATTGATAAAAAATGATCGAAACCGACCATAAAATATAGATAGCTTATTGTATTTCTTTTTCTTCCGATGAATTTTCACAGGCCCGTAATAGATTTTATTGTTGTAAATTCACTCAAAGAAACTCTTTAATACAATTCCATAAAAATATCATTTATTATTTGAAATAGATAAACCCTTGTTATTCCTTTGGAAACTAAATTTGGCTCATTTTTATTGTCATTTACAAAATTTTTACATAACATTTTTAAAAACCTATTATAGCATTCGACACGCTATGGCCAGTTATGTGTTGACGACCCTAAAAATCCAAACAAACAAAATTTTTCTCACATATCAAACATATGTAAAGTTTCTTTACATTTAATTTAAGACTTATATTTGAATGCAGATGAAAAGAAACATATCATAACTTAAACAGCGAAAGGAATAATCTCCCTGTAATGTGTAATTTTGCACAAGAAAGCATAAATAAATATATGCATACATCATGCTGGAAAATTCAACAAAATTCAAACTAGTTACAAAATTATATTTCGAAAAGTAAAACTGTGACGTATTAATTACATCATGAAGAGTTTTCTAAGTGCAATTACTTCAGCTGCAAAAATCGGTACCAAAAAAAAAAGGGATGTAATATATATAGAAATGTTGTTTGTTTATCATTTTATATTAACATATATTTCACTCGCGAACACCAGTTGTTATAATTTAACTCGTTATATTTTAATTTATAAGACAGCAAACATCCTTTGTTTAAAACAAAATGAAAAATTTACCCATATTAATTAACAGCAGCCATGTATATATTTAGTAAATACAGATTTTTGTTACAGGTTATATGGCCGTATATAAAACGATAACCCGGGCCGCCAAGTGAGAGTTATATTGCAAACAAAATTATATCGGCCATATATCCTGTTAAAATTCTTTATAAAGAATTTACAATACTGCAGAAAAAAGAGAGATTTCTTGATAAATTGACAGCAGCTGTGTATATAAACTATATAAACGCCAATTAAAATTGACGTACCAAACTTGCAGTAACAAAAGATTTTATATTATTATATAATAAATAGCTTTGAAATGCCTTTCCCTGATTGGCTAACAAGCAACTTTTTGTAAAAAATAACAGGTCAATATCAGAGTATATTCACTGTTTTTTTCCTAAAAATAGATTTTCAGAGTATATTCACCGGTTTTTCTTCTAAAAATAGATTTTCTGGAAATCCCTAAAAGACGCGAGACTTTGACGTGACATCACGCCAAGTTTTGTTGTTATTATTCTATATTTTATGCTTAAAACGTTGAGTGGGGTGGACATAAGAGTTCAAATTAGTCTATTTTAGTTACCGTTTTACATTTTTATGAACAATAGGGATTAGCATGCCAATGGAAAAAGGGCCCCAAATAATGGAAACAGCAGACAAGCCTGTTCGCAAGAAAAATAATAATTTCCGTTGTATTGCAATGGCAGATGTGATAAGCCATATAAAAGCTATTTATAAATTATATAATAAAACAGATATGTACTTTTTACCTGTTGAATATGATGTGATATGTACTGAAAAATTAATATTGACCTCGGCTATCGCCTCGGTCAATATTAATTTTTTCAGTACATATCACATCATATTCAACAGCTAAAAAGTCCATATTTGTATAATACTGCACGTTTGTCACGTCACTTTTCATTGGAGAATCGTGACATTTTCATAGTTTTATACACACTGTTTCTGGCAATTTTCTAAGAAATCTCACTTTTTTTCTCATAAAAAAGGGAAGTTCGCGGTTTTATAAATTCGTTATAAATATTCCTGACATGTTAAATGGTTGTAGGCAATATAACCATCGCCAAGCGGCTCGGGTTATATTTCCAAACAGTCGTTTATGTAGGGCAATATTACCTGTCAAAAATCTTTATAACTAATAATATAAACATCATGATTATCCAATGAAAATCGTCTTTACATATTTAATATATATTTATGCTAATGAAGTAATTGTTTTGCGCATGACGTCTTTGCAGCTGTGTAGCAAGTGGGATTTTAGAAAGAGTTGCTGAACATATGTTTGTCTAAAGGGTAAAATTTCATTATGTTTCGTGAAAATATAGTCCATATTTCACTCAAACGGAAAGCAACAATGAAAGCAAACATTTTTCAATTTTGAATATTGACAGTATACTTACACCCTAAAACAAACATAATGCTATAGCCTGAAGAATGAGGGATGGTTATCTGTTCCCAGATTTTTTGACTTGGTATTGAGAAGAAGCTCCGCCAGAATATTGGCTTTAACTATCGTAAAGAGTTTTAAATATCTGACTACACTGGCAGCCTCCTGCTGCTAAATCTTTCAGTCTCTGCGGTTTCTATACTATATACAGTCGTTTTTTTGCAGTTTCTATGTTAAGTTCCCGCCCGACCCTCAATTAGAAATCATGCCTGTTTCATTGGAACTTCAACGGGGCAGTTCCCCAATGACTGTTCTCTTTTTTAAAGGAACCGTTTTTCGTACGTTTACCACTATCACAATTGATATTATCAAGGCAATCGGGATTTTCATCGCAAAACAAGTCTATATTGTTAGACGACAGGACCGGCGGATCCACCTGCACGTGTCGTGTGATTGTGTTTCCGGTTTAGCATGATCGTAACCTTATATTCACCTTCGTCTTAC